CTTTACCTTTTCCAACTCATTGCATCCTTTTTGAAGCCAGTGTCCAGATGGTCAGAGCTTATGTTATTCTAAGGACATAATAGGGGTACATCAGAAAAATTAATGCTTGTGTTCTAGCAAGGAGCAACAGCAAATCAGCTGTGATTAGTACAAAGGCTGCCAGTGTAGGGTCTCTTTGTGGTGGCAGTGTGCTTTGTCATCACTCCTTGTCTGCCAGCTTGAGGAAGAGGGCTGAGCTCAGGATTGGCATGGGGCCAGCCAGAGCAAAGCTTTACTTTATCTCCCCATGCTGCCAAGTGCACCAACAGATCCAGAGCAGGTTCTGGGAAGCCTTGTGAGCTGGAGATCTAGAGGCTGTGAGATCTAGAGGTCAGAGTCTTGGAAGTTTTGCTTCTTTTAAGCAGGACCTATTAATTTCTATGCAAATCATCCTAACTGCTCGGTTCAGTGAGTTTGCATAGACCAGCCCCACCTGACAATTGGGTCAAAGGTATGAAGAACAACCTCTCTTCAGGCTTTTATCTTCCTCTAGCGTTATATCAAAGTGCCTTTGTTAGTGACAAGTAAGTATCCTTCATTAAAATACAGCTTTGCATCACAATTATGTAGTAGTTTTTGTTTGCTTTCCTAATTGAAGAAAATTTTGAAAGAGCAATAAAACACAATTTGTTCTCTCTTCCCAAAATGAAACATCTCCTTTTGGAAGGAAGAAGTGAGTAAATTTACATGATAATGAGCAAATTGTTATGAGCCCATAGATCAGCGTTGACATAAAGGGTGACGGAAATGAGATGTTGTCGTTTTGTGCATTCCCCCTCGAATGCATCTGCCTGTACCTCCTGCTGCTACTGAGCCAGGAAGTGCTCATGGTCAGCAATAGTAACACATCCTAACTCAGGGAAAATGTCCCGTGAAATGAATCATTCTTCACCAGGGTGGCCATCAAGTACACCATCATCCTTTCCCTGGTGAGTGCAGGGTACTACTGCACCTCCTAGCTGGCTGGTTTTCACTGACCCTCTCTGTTTTCCTCTTGGCTTTGTCATTTGCCAGGACTGTCAGAATACTGGCATGGAGTGGCAGGATGAGTGCTATGGTTTTGCTTCAGGCATGTGACTTACCTAGCAAAGCATGCAGAAAATGCAGGGTGGGGGTCTACCTCTGCTCAACCCAGGGACTAAATGAGCTGAAGCTTTGTCTCAGTTGTCACTCTGTCCTGCCCTTACTTTCTGGAAGTGGAATGCAGCTGTCCAAACCTTTTCTCCTGCCTGTCCCTCTCTGGAACAACTGGGTTCATTAGTGGTTTTGAGAAGCTGGAAGTGACATTAACCCCCTGCCCAGCTGTTGTGGTGTCAGGGCTACAGGCAAAATGGCATTTGTTTGGCTCCTGGAGAAGTCATCCAGCGATTGCCTGGAGAGCCTCACTGCAAGTGCAATCCATATGCAATGCTTCTGTCAGCAAAGACTTGCTGGAGGAGAGTTTATAATAAATATTCACATCTGCTGCTTTGGACACTCTAATCCATCCTACAGATCTTTGCTGTGTCAGGCTTTGTTCTAGATGAAGAAGCTGGGTAGTTATAAAGGTTTCCAAATAGGGCATATTTATCATGGTTAGCTCTACTTCCTAGTTCCCTTTCTTGCACAAATATCCATGACCACACTAAACATAAGTTGTGGTTAAATATTCTCAGTGCATTTGTAAGCTGCTTTAGGTATTTCTTTTGATAAATGGCAAAATGAAGCCATCAGATTTCCATGAGCAGAACAGAGAACATCATTGTTATGACCTGTTTGAATGAAGGGACAATATATTCCCTGGATATATGTACATCACATAGGCATACCAAGGGCCCTGAAGTGTTAAAACTGGGATAAATTCCTCCATGGTCACATCTGTTGGGCAGTATGTTCCCATTGGCTGTTTAGTGAATAACCTGAGTTACCAAAAATAGAAAAATATCTCCTGTTTTTCATAATCTTCAAAAAAATTATGACTTCGGTGCCAGACTGACTTTGTCAGTGTCAATATTAATTGAATATTCTGCTGGTGATGTCTTTGATTTCAGAGAGAAATATCTCAATACATAAGAAGAGCTGTAATCACTTGGAGGGTGTATTGAATTTGCTTCAATGGAAAAAGGTGTTTGACCAAGATCACAACTGAGTACAGTGATCCTGTTGTTGTTAGGGCCACAGCAGCTTTGAAATTAATGTATTGGTTTTTTTGGTACGTGAAACTCATGATTATTATAGTTAATTTCTAAAAGAGAATCTTTATCTGGAGGCTGGGTAAGTAAGAGGCACTTCAAACATATCACTTACCAGCTATTACCTCTGCTTTTATTTAAGTAGGAAGATAACAAACTTATAAACACATTCTGCTTCCTTAAAAGTGTTGAAAACTGAGCCCATTTGATTTGCAAAAAAGCATGTGGAAACTGAGAACTCCTTAGAACCTTTTTTAGGTTTTCTCTGGAAATTCAGCTGAAAACTCACATCCTCAGGTGTTAGAGTGGTACACTCTAAAAACAGCAGTGTCAAAAGCATGGTCTGATGTCGGTACCTTCAGTTGTTAGGAGAGGATCTACTCCTCTGGTGCTCAGTCTGTGTGTCAGAATGCATCCCTGAATAATTGCATCCAAGTATGAATGATTGTCCTGCTCTGGTCTGCACTGGGGAAGCCCCACCTTGAGTATGGTGTGCAGTTTTGGTCACTGTGACATAAAACAAATAATAAGCTATCAGAGAGCATCCAAAGGGCAACCAAGATGGTAAAAGGCCTTGAGGGGAAGCTGTGTGAGGAGTGACTGAGGGCACTTGGTCTCTTCAGCTGGAGGAGACTGAGGAGGGACTCACCAGGGTTTGCAACTTCCTTGTGAGGGGGAGTGGAGGGGCAGACACTGATCTCTGCTCTGTGGGGACCAGTGGCAGGACCTGAAGTTGTGTCAGGGTAGATTTAGGTTGGTTATTAGGGAAAGGTTCTTCCTCCAGAGGGTGGTTGGGCAATGGGGCAGGCTCCCCAGGGAATGATCACAGCACCAAACCTGACAGAGTTCAAGAAAGGTTTGGACAATACTCTAGGGCACATGGTGTTACCCTTGTGGTCTCCTGTTGCAGGGCCAGGACTTGGACTCCTTGATCTGTGTAGATCCCTTCCAACTCAGCAGATTCTGTGATTCTGTCACAGTAGCCAGACTCCTTGTGAGGAGAACATGAGGTCTCCAGACTGGCCTAATGGCTTCAAAATCCAATCTCATTGTTATTGATCTATCCAAGTTTCTGTTAATTTATCACAGGAAACAGGAGTGCACCACGTGTGTCTTTAAAGTCACCACCTCAAAACTTCCAGCGCCGCTCTGTTGTGTAGCCTTTGCCAAGCTCGATGCCTTTGCTGTGTGTTTCAGGTGGCCTGGTGGCTCTGGCCAGCAGCGAGGGCTCGCTGAAGGTTCTGTGTCTGGCCGTGGGCCAGCTGTCCGTCCTGCGCGGCCCCGGGGTCGAGGTGCGCTGTGTGCGCTTCCACGGCCAGGACCATCTGCTGTCAGCGGGCATCGATGGCAGGGTTTGCCTCTGGACATGGGCACAGTGACACATGGAGTGGCCCTCATCGCCTCCCACAAGAGCGCTCTGACAACCGGCTTAGAGCTTCATACTTCGTGTTTGCGCTATTCGGGGAATATTCACCCAAACGGAGCATTATTTGGCATTTTATCCAAATAAACCCCTCGATTTCTCCCTCTTTCTGCTGTCTTGTCTTTTCCCCAACATCAAGAATCTCTCTTTTGGTGGTTTCTGGAGAAACAGCTTTACAATGACGCCTAATGCCAGCGCAGCCGAATTGCAAGGAGATTGATTTTTAATGTAGCGCGGCACGAGCCACAGGAGCCGGGGCGCCCCTTCCCCGGCGCAGCCGCCTGTGGGAAGATGAGGCGAAGTTTCCACAATGCGGCCATGGGGGATGTTTTCCCGGACACCGCCGGGGCAGCGGCGATGAGCCGGAGCTGGAGAGCGCGGAGGGGCTGAGGGAAGCTCCAACGCGCGGATCCGAGGGGAGCCGGGCTGAGGGGAGCTCCAGCCGGTGGATCTGAGGGACAGCGGGGCCGAGAGGAGCTGGGCTGAGGGGAACTGGGCTGAGGGGAGCCGGGCTGAAAGGAGCTCCAGCTGGTGGATCTGAGGGAGAGCGAGGCCGAGAGGAGCTGGGCTGAGGGGAACTGGGCTGAGGGGAGCCGAGCTGAGGGGAGCTCCAGCCGGTGGATCTGAGGGAGAGCGGGGCCGAGAGGAGCCGGCTGAGGGGAGCCGGGCTGAGGGGAGCTCCAGACGGTGTATTTGAGGGGAGCCGGGCTGAAGGGAGTCGGGCTGACGGGAGCTCCAGCGGGTGGATGTGACGGGAGGCGGTGAATCTGAGGGGAGCCGGCAGGTCTGAGGAGAGCCGTCGCCCCAGCCAGCGGCAGGCGGAGCAGCGGCCGAGGCGGGGGCGCCCCGCCCCTGAATTATTTTTTGGGTTTAACCCCCTGGCTCTTCTCTCGTCTTTTTTTTTTTTTTTTTTTTTCCCCTACCACCACCCCCCTAAAAACAAAATTAATCCCAATAAGGGCAGGCAGGGAGCGCGGAGCTGCGCGGCGCGGGCATGGCCGGCGCCCCGGCCAGGGAGTCCCCGGAGGGGCGCGGGGGCTGCCCGCCCGCCGGGCGCGGGGCTCCTGCGCCCGCCCTCCCCCGCCTGCCTCCCGCCTAACCCGCGATCGCTCCCCCCCTTCCCCCGCCGAGGCGAAGCTGGAGCCGCAGGAGATCCGCCGGGCACAGGGAGGGGACAGGGATGGGTTGTTTTCTCTCCCCCGCCCGCCCCGAGACCTGAGGAGATGCAGCCCAAGTTCGCCGCGATGACTCTGCTGCTGGCACCGGGGTTTCTCCGCGGCATCGCAGCCTCCGGACCGCCTGAATCCTGCTCCTTCTGAATCGTCGGCGCCGGGTTAAAGCTCAGTTCTCATGTTGTGGTTGCTGGGCTGCCGCGCTCCCGTTTTGCGATGGGAGGTGGAGGAAAAGGGATTGTCCGTGAGTCAACACCGAAAACGTGATTAGGAGGAACTGCTTTAACTAATCTGTTTCTAACCTTTCAGTCAATGTTGGCCTGTGACCCCTCTCAGCTTTCACATCCAGCCTGATCAGGTAGGTGTGAATTATTCACTTGGGGCGAGGGAAAGCGGATGGAAACGTTTCAGAGACTTACCTACGATCCTGGCCTCTCTCAGGATGAGAAATTATGAGAAAGTTCAAGCTGTAAACTAATCCTGAGCCAAGCAGCATTTGTTTACTTGTTGAAATGTGTCCGTGCAAGACGTCTGCAGTCTGTCTGATTTCCAGGATCGAGCCGAGTGCCTGTGAGTTGCTGTGGGACATCTCAGCTGCTGTAGCAAAATATAATGCTCTTATTTGTGGTCTGGGGAGAACTTTTATATACATATATGTATACACATACATTTGTTCTGAGAGCTTCCTCATCAGACTCCAGCAGATTCTCACAATTGTTTCACATTTCATCAGATATTAATTACTCTGTTTGCTGCTTTTTTTTCCCCCTCTAAATGCCCACAAATCTGCAGTGTTGCAACCTACCTGTAGCATTAGGTGGGGAGACTCGCTGCTCTCTAGATATGTAAAGCAGCCGTATCTGCATGAATCGCTGGATTTCCAAGCAGCATGTTACAGTAGATATTGCTGATATGAGTAACAGGAGGGTGCATAGTCCTTGTGATGGAAACACAGCTAGTACTTCAATTAAGAAGATATCTTTTCGAATTTGATAAATCTTGTGTAATATCCGGTGTCTCCCTCTGTTGTGGCTTTGGAAAAACTGCTTGGTCAACAGGATCCTTTAGCTGCTTCTCTGGGATTAAAGCTTTCTCCTCCTGCTACTGCTTTTTTGCTTCAATTAAGGAAGAATTAATTGTTGAACATCTGCAGTCCACCAAAAATTTCAGTGTATAAAAATGTCTCCCCGCGGGGCGGAGGGGAGTACGTGTTTGCCCGTGTGTGTAGGTTAATGCATGTTTGTGTAGACGCCGTGTGCCTGTGTGTGCATGTTCTGGGAATGGAGGAAAGAAGGGATGACACACACACACCCCAGCAGTCCTTTTTTTTTTTTTTTTTGGTTTGTGCTAGCATCTACCTCCGTAGTTCTGCAGTCCGTGTAATGCCGATATTTCATCTCATTTAAAAGTTTCCTGTAATACTTTGCCCAGTTTTAAAGAGGGGTCAGAAACCAGTTTGCTGCCAGGGTTGCACTGGCTGCTGGCTGGTTTGTGGGCAGGTTGGTGGCAGTGATGTGGCACTGTGGGCAGCCAGAAGAGCTCCCAAGACGCTGGCACGGAGCCTTCGCCTGGCGCCGACTCTCCCGGGGGTCCCTCAGAGCCCCTCTCCCTTCCGGGGCTCGTCCCTCACTCCACCACTTCAGCGCAGCTCGCCGGAGGTCGGGACGTGCTGCATCGCTCCCAAAGTTTTAGAAAGGCTCCAGCTTAATCACGCCGACACATTTCAGCGGCTCCATGCATTACACAGGCATTTAAACCTCCTGCGCTCCACGTTTTTTTTTGCTGGGAATTACTGAAATGCTGAATAATGGAGAAGGTGAATTGCGTCTTTGCTTCTGTCAGGGTTAGACGTACCTACTGCAGGCTGGGCTGTGTTGGTAGCCCAGGAAGTCCCTCTTCAGAAATGCTGTAAATAAGATGCTGTACTATTCCACCTCTCACAGCCCAAGTTTAACCCAGCACTATCTTTTAGATCAGACACAGATCTGACAACAGATGATGCTTAACTCCCTTTTCAGCTCAGGTTTCCCACCTCAGTTTAATGAGGTGGGCTGTGCTCCATACGTAAGCACCAAGGGACAGTGGCCACCACAGGAGGTTTAGACCATTCTTGAACTTGGCTTCAAAACCCTCCAAGCTGCCCATCACCATGCAATTTCAGGCAGCTGGTTTAATGTCTGTTGCACCCAAAAACTCAACTACAAAAATGAGGAAAGTAAAAATTAGCTGATTCTGTGACCCACCATTCCTTCAGAGATATTTTATGGTCATATGCTTCCAGGCACGTGTGTCTAATTAAGATATTTCACATGCTTTGTTCTCTTTACCAATAATTAAGAAGAGGTTTAATTCAAATGAAACAGTGATAGTTATCTGTGCAGTTTAAAAACTTGGATTTATTCTTCAGTGCTGGTTGAAACAATGACTTCTGTAAGTCAATATTCCTTGAATTTTGAGGTTTTTCTCACTTGAAATTGTTTGTTTCCAGACCACAACACTGGTCTCCCTATGGAAGCAACTGTTTGTATTTGGCTTTGAGGTCCCATGGAGAAGCTGAGGAGGGGGATGGCTCTTCATATCCATGAAGCCTGGATACTTCTGTTTGTGCTCCCTGGTTTGGTCACTCCAGCTGCCATCAATCATGAAGACTACCCCGCTGATGAAGGGGACCAGACCTCCAGTAATGACAATCTGATCTTCGATGATTACCGGGGGAAGGGCTGTGTGGATGACAGTGGCTTTGTGTACAAACTGGGAGAACGTTTTTTCCCAGGACATTCCAACTGTCCCTGTGTCTGTACTGAGGATGGACCTGTTTGCGATCAACCAGAATGCCCTAAAATCCACCCAAAGTGCACAAAAGTGGAACACAATGGATGCTGTCCAGAATGCAAAGAAGTGAAAAACTTTTGTGAATATCATGGGAAAAATTACAAAATCTTGGAGGAATTTAAGGTATGGAACCCTTTCTTCAGTATTTCATATTAGTATGCTTGAGGAATTGTATTTTTATTGGGAGCTCTCAAAGGCACTCAGTATTTGCTTACTGCCATTGATGAATGCTGAAGCTGAAGTTGTTTTTAGCTGTGATGCAGGTCTGGCTCATATAAAAGCTGTCACCTCCCCCTTATGTGCACTTCCAGAAGGCCAGTGGTCAGTCAAAAGCCCCAGTGGGAATTGCCAGCCCTCTGCACCTGCCTCCTTTGCTCATAGCATGGATCCATAGCATGGATCATGCTGGACTACCAAGGGTGGGTAAGCCAGTACTGAGTGCTTTTTAAGAACCCCTTTTGCAATTTGGAGAGCAAAAATTTGATGGCATGGTGCTGAGAGTTGTTACTCCTAACTGTTTGAGCATGCAAATAAGTAGATGGTAAACTCTATTTATTTTTTTTTTCATTTCAACTGTGATAAGGCTGTCTAGAATGGAGAAGATGAACTCCTAGGTGGATGAGCATCTCAAGCAATGAGAAGTGTGGGGTTTCATTGTAATGGTTGAGTTCATGTAAGGAATGTCATAAAGAAATCCTGAAATATATCTTAAAAACGAGACAGCATTTTCCAAAATCACTACACAATCTGCAGTTCTCATTCTAATGAGTTTGATCATGAGCTTTCAATTCTGCTAAGAAAAACAACATTTCACAATGAAGAATAGGGACTGTAAAAGCTGTAGGTACACAAGTTTGTTTTTCCAGGTCACGTGGCATTAAGGGTTGAACCTCTATAATTCACAACAGCCTGTAACTCTTCATGGCTGTGTGCCTGATCTTATTATACACTTGGCCAGTTTATTGTCTTTCCTGCAAGGAAAATCATTTCATATAGGTCCGTGTACTTCACCAGTTCTCAGTAACATAGATGGCAGTTCCCTTTTTCACAGAAATTGTCATTTTCAGGGAAGGTAGCAGTTAGTAGTTCCTTTCTTCTGTCGCGTGTGGTGTATGTTTATCTTTTTCTGTCCATCTGAAACTGTAGTCACTGAGTCTGGGCAAGACAGTTTAATGTCACAAGCATAAGGGAAAGCAAATGTATGAGGAACATCTCTTTGAGGGCCACCCTGACCAACCTGCTCTGCTTTACTGAGGGATGTGAAGATGCTGGTCTTGTGAACTGCCCAGATAACAGTTTCTTCTTTCCCTGGGAAGGCTTGGCCCAAGGTCATCCCCTGATCACGCTTCAGTGGTCCCATTTTGACTGCTGTGTTGTCAGATGGTGAGATATCCCACCTAGGTGATCAGGTTTTCATGTGAGAGGCATAAGGTCTCATTTATAGGGAGCAGAAATTCGTAAGGACTCTTTGAAGAGATTTCGGTGGGAGAGATAGATCCTGTCATTGAAGTATCTCTTGCGTGTGAATTAAGTGGAAAAGCAGTAATCTCTTTTCCTGAAAGAAGTAATTTCATCCTGGTAACAGCTTAAACTCTAGGAAAAGAGAAGACAGGAGAGAAAGGCTGTTGGAGAGAGTTAGGAGCCATCTGGTTCATTGCTTGCTGTATTCAAACACTTGGGCTGTTGTGTGGAAAGCAAAGTTCCAGTACCCTCTGAGAAGCACAAAATAGACGGTGTCACGCCACTCTGACACACAGTAACCTTCTGTCCAGGACTAATGTGAGATCCCTTCACACTTAATTTAGCTAACACTCAAACTTTTGACCTAGAGCTGTGTTTTGCTGAAAGCTCAATATGTTGTGGAATAGGGCAGAAACCATTGTCTTGGAAATCTCTGTGTTTATCTAGAATAAACAGTGGATTGCTTTTTTCCTCAGAGAAAGGTAGGAGAGTCAGACAATGGAAGATCACTGTTTTGTTGGAGGGGGGAAAAAGCAGCACCTGTGAACTATGACTTTGTAAATTCTGTAGGAAAGACAGAACTTCAAGATTCAGGAAGCTGCTGCTCTGAAGTCTCGATTTTATGAGGCATCCAAGCATTTTGTTGTTTATTTCAACAGAATAAAGATTTTACCTGCTATCTCTGCAGATGAAATCCTGAGCAGTTCATAGATTTTACAGGCTCTGAGCTCTGCTTCTCCCTCATCCTGTTGAATTTCCAAGGTCTGCAAACTTTCTCACATCCACTGCACACACACTGAAGTCAAAGACGAGAGGCTGTTCTGACTCAAACCCAGGCTGCTTTCAGTGGAAACAGAGGCACTGTTTTATGTGGTCTCAGAACCCTTTCACCCACTTGATTTACTTTTGCTGGTATGTAGATTCCAAATCGTCATCTATAGAAGTGCTTGTCACGGCTGAGTTTCAGCTGAAATTAGCCTCTATTTAAAAATCTTTTGCAAGTGTGTGTCTGTGTGTGTGTGCCAGGACTGACTCATCTTGTGGAAATTTCAGCTGCCTGATCTTTCACAAATTGGGATTAATTTTTTTCTCTTGGATTTTTTTTTTTCCCCTAGGATATCAATATCTATGAGAGGTTTCCAGTTGGGTGAATTTTCTTGTATTGTTTCTAGATATTTTTCTCAGGTTTGGGATGAGAAATCCAAATGTGACTTAACCTTTTTTCTTACCACTGGCAGTAACTGTGATGCTCTCAGGATAAAGGAGTAGTTACAAAGGCCCATTTCTTGAATATTTAGCTTTTTTTCTAGTGAACAGATCTTGTACATCTGATTTTTTGAGTCATAATAGGCACAAAATACAAACATGCCAACAAGCCACGTAGCTTAGACAGCTGTCCAAATATTTATCCTTGTGTCCCTCAATCATTAACATGTACAACTGAAATGCTGAACTGTAGTTCTGTTATAAATTCAAACCCATTGAGAGTTTCTTTGTATCCTTTTGTAAAATTTTGTGTCTTTGACAGATGGCTTAGTAACCCCATGCAGCATCTTCATAGCACCTTCATCTCTTTTGGGTCCTGGGAGATGTTGGTGAGTTTGGGGCCCCAGCTGCCCATACAGAGGCTGCCTCACTCCTTGGTTTCAGTGGGATTTACTCCCAGCTTTGGCTGAGGCTGTGGTTCCACCTGGAAACCCCTGCAGAAAAGGCCAGCACAGTGTCTGAAATGATAACCATGATCTGATTCAAATGTGTCTGAATACAGATTGATGCCTGGTGGCCAGGATTCTGATACCTGTGGAACAGGAGAGAGGGCAGGTCTGGGGGGATTTACTGGAATCCATCTCTCTCTTTCCCATCTTGTTTTCTGCTTTTCTCTTTGTTGGACTAGGATGTGGTCTCTCAGGTCCCCACTGGCCCCTCTCAGAGCAGGGGTGAAGGCAGCTGTGGTGGCTGCAGGGAAGGTGTGAAGGATGCTGGAAGTCTCAGGCTGTTTTCTCCTGACGGATCTGGCAGGGGTCACTTGGCAGCTGCTTTTTCTCTCACTCATCATCCTTGCTTTGATTTCAGTCCTGGAGGTTAAGGTCTGAGTCCCAAGTGCTCTGTGTTCGCCTGTAGGAGCAGAGATCTTTCAGGGAGGTCGTTAAGCCTTCTCTTTCTTCTCAGAGACAGAAAACAAGCAAATGGAGATTGCTCTTGGTTATTGTAAGTACACATGGTTGTGTTTTAAATGAATGTCCTCAGCCAGCAGCTGATGTAAAGTTAAGGAGACAGTGTTCTGCCAGCGTGAGGGATGTTCATTGGCAGCTGACAGAGAAATCCTGCAAATGTCACTGAGGCAACAGTGTCCCTAAGTGCTGATTAGTTTTTGTTCTCTTGCATGACTTACTGACAGAAAAGCACACACCTTTGAGAAATGGAATTATGGCGTAGTTATGGTGTGTTTGTAGCCACAGTGAGGAGCCACTGGAAGAGGATTGGGTTGTCAGTTTGGAAGGTCTGTTACGGGCTCTGAACTTCCTAGGTCTCTCATCACCCAGCCAGAGATACATCCAGAATAACCTTCTGCAGACCTCTGGATATGTATCAAAATGCCATTGCCGAGAGATAAATGGTCAGTTCACAAGAGATTGTCAAGCTGACATCTTGAGATATTCTCTTCATTTTAGACTGACAGGCACGGACTGCTCCCTGTCCCTGAAGGAGGCTGAGCACGGTGCCATCCTCCAAGACAGTGGCAGAATTTCCTAAGCAGTGACATTAAAATTTCTGTTAGCCTGCCAGAATGCTGGGTGAGTTATCCTTTGGGTGGGAGCACAAGAGGTTCTGGCCTTCCTGATGACGTTCAAGTGAGATGAGCAGCTTCAACCTGCAGTTGTGACCTCGAGCTTGGAAAACACTCTGGACATTTTTTGGGTGCTCTTCAGAAAGGCTGTTCTCCTTTCTGCCAAGCACAGAGCTGCAATTTCTTCTAGTCATTGGCTCTGCCAGTGCTTATCCTCTGCTGCTGCCTTTATTTGCCTGTCCTTCCCAATGTCTGCTCCATTTCCTGGTCCTCTCCCCCTTCCACCTTTGCTCCTCCCAAACCTATCCTCACTGAAAAAGCCCCTAGGTGATGCCCAACTATTTGTCCCTTGAATCAGCACAAGTGTGGAGAGGTGGTAAAACAAACTTTGCTCTTGCCCTTTTCCTCCACACTGGAAAAAAACCAAAAAAACAACCCAACAAAAAAAGCAGGAAAGGTGAATTTTTTCCTTCCGGGGCAAAGATTTTGCTGACTTGAAAAAGCCAGGATTTCATTGCTAAAATAATACTTTATTTTTCTTTCCCCTGTTCCCTGCCACTATATCTTAAGTTCATCGCCTTGTTTAGTCCACAAATCACCTGTAGTCCTTCAGTGAAGGTTTTTGTGTCTTGCTGACATTATGTCTTCTTGAACAGTGCTTTGCACAATAGGGACACAGCTCTAGCAGGGTTCTTCAGGGTGTAATCAGAACCCAAAATATATGAGGGACTGTGTAAGCATAGCATTATCATACACTAATTATCAGCTCATTATGGAAACCTTTGCTTCAGAATAGTGGCACCTCCTTCTCCTTTGTTAATGCTCTTTAAAATGTTTTATTAATGCAATTACCTGAATTTAACTGAACAAAGCA